CATGCGTGTCACACAGAGGCCAAGAAGGGGATGAATACCAGGCTCCCACTGGAATTTGAGCCCAGCAGCTTGGGGAACCTCATAGGGACAAGAAGTAGGACAATAATAGCCTGAGAATCAGAGCGTGGGGGAAGAGTTTGGGGGAAACAGCTTGGGGGAAGAGTTATAACCTTAAAAGAGGAGTTAAATATATCCTCTCTTGACTTCAAAAGAAATATAGAAGTTGGTGTCTAATCACCCTTTCCTAAAGATTTCATCTTCTGTATATAAAACTGCCCAATATTCTAGAAGGATTGATACTGCCCACCCTACTTGGAGAAAGTTCTTGGTTAATGTCTTTGACTGCAATCTAGCCTCTAGGATGTCAGCAGCACTTCCAGGAGGAAAGTAGTCTTTAACCTGAAACATTTACTTGTCTGATCTCTTTGACTTCTGATTTTCTCTGACCTGTCTGACCTCTAGGAAGCATGTTGCCTCAGAGTTCTTTACTTGCTCCACCAAAGAGGAAGCTATGGGTTCCCATTGAGTCACTGGATTGTTGCTGTGGTTTCCTTTTTTTTTTTTTTTGTTTATCTGGGTTTCATCACCACTTAGCTGGTGTGGTTCCTCTCTCTGCTTCTTGCACAGACTCCTTTGTTAGTGTGATCCAGTCATACTTTCCATACTGAAGTGTTCTTATTCCCTTAATTTTATTATTAAGCCCACGTTCTTAATTTCCCTACCATCAGTGATGTTTTGCCTGATCAAATGTTCTTTTCTTAGACTGCATAGCTTAGAAGCTAACAGTGCCAAGTTGCTAGATCTGAATTCCCATTCTAGCATATTGTCTATGGAAACTCAGGCAAATTTTCATCTTTTCAAAGACTTGGATTTATTATCAGCGAAGGAGAGAAAAAATACTTGTTTCATTTAGACCGAACAGTTTCTGGTCAGCATTTACGCATTTACAACAATGCCTGGCATATAACAAATGTTAACTAATACTGCTGTAGAGTTATGCTTTTTATGATGCTCCAGGGTTATAGCTAAACTGGGTACTCATATTCTCCAACGTGTATTGCATTGGTTACTAATATTAGCTATTTTGGCCAAAGGAATTCTTTTTATCCCTCCTCACAAACTCTCTGTAGAAAACCCCAATATTTATACAAAAATGTATTCAAAGTTTTTTTTCAAGCAGTCTACATCTTTGTATTTCTTTTTTTAATAAAATACTTTGTTGCTTGAGGAGTTATTTCAGTATTGAAAGCTAGTGTAATAGTTCACCTTTTTCATTAAAGTGAAGGGTACATAGTTTTGAGCTGCCATAACTGAAGATCTACTTCCTAGGATTGCTTATAAGAATTTGTGGGTAAATACAGTTGTGGCTATGGGAATAATTTTGAGTGTGACAATGTTGGGAAGTACATGGATTGTCAAATTTATCATTTTAATACAATCCACTCCCAATATTACATAGTTAAGTAGTATTTCATTCACTATCACTAAATACATACACACACACATAAAAGTAATACTGTAGCTTAAGGAAGGATGCAGGGAAAGGGTCATATTCTGGAAGTTAGAATTTAAGATGGCTCTCTAAGCTGCTAGGTAATTGTCCTTATCATCTTGGCTTGCTTTAACAAAATACCATAGGGATTATGCTCAGTGAAATAAGTGAGAAGAAAAAAGAAAAATATTGGATGGTTTCACTTATAGCAGTAATATAGGGGAACCAGATACGGGATCAGGGAAAAATTAATAATAAATTTGAAACTAAAATTAACAGACAAACATAAATCAGAGACATTGTGCAGCGGAAGGGGAGAGAAGGAGGGAAGAGCACAAAGGACTATGGTGATGGTGCACGGGTAACTTGGTTGTGGGAATTTTACAGGGACCACACTGAAAGGAGAAAGCAAATATTATACAAAAATGAACAATGGTGTAAAATATATATAAATAAATTTAATTTAAAAATACCATAGACTGTATTGCTTAAATAATAAATATTTATTTCTCACAGTTCTAGAGGCCAGAGACTGAGATCAGGGTACCAGCTTTGGGGGAACACAAACATTCAATCCATGGCAGTACCATAAATGAAGTCAGGGCTCCCAATGGTGTCTTTATCTCAGAATGCCACATTTCCTCTTCCTTTGCTTTAACAAACCTATTTTCTGGCATCTAGGAAGAATTTTGAGATTTAATCAACAGCTCTACCAACTGTTCTTCATCATTATATAGGTTCTTGTATCTTTGTATACAATGTACATACACTTAACATTGAAAGCTTTTGCTCATTGTTCAGATTGTCTTTTACCATCTTGCACACAACTTAGTCAATGCAGAGAACTTTCTAGGGCAGAATTACCTCAAGCAGCTAACTGCCTTTGGAAATGCCATATCCAAGAAAAGAGAAAGATGAGGGAATGTTTATTAAATTTTGATTAGGTATAATGACTCTGCTTTTAGGGCTTTGCTAAACATTTTGTTTGAGTGAATAGAAGCAAATTGAGAAATTTCATGTGTCACCCTGACCTAGTGATCTCAACATACTTATGGAAATTTTCTACTAACTGTTTTTGGGTGTTATTTTCTCAATTTCCTCTTTTCTTTGCTCCATCTCCCATGGTGAATCAAAGGAAACCTTAGTCTTTGAAAAGACTTCTCCCTTTGAGTTAAGTCTTTTTATGTTGGGAACTTCATAATCTCTCCAGAAAAGGTAAGTGTGATGTTTAGTCTCAAGTATTTCTGAATATATTCCCTTATTTACAAAAAGACACACTGGGAAAATATATTTGAGGGTTCTGACCCTCCTTCCCACTGGAGAACACAACAAGAGAGTTAACACACCATGGGACAAGAAGAACCTCAAAATAAACGTGAGTACTGTCTTTTCATTTTTAAAGAGGAGAGATAATTCTAATCAAGATTTAAAATTATTAATTGAACAACTTTCCTCCCTGCCTGCCTGCAAACATGCAGGTGACCTTAATTTTCTTTCTCGTATTCCTAATAAACCTGCCCTTTAAAATATATATGAATTGACAGTGGTTGTCATTGTAAGGACTGAAGATGATGATGGGGAGAAGGAGATGGAAAGAAATGACTTTGATGATTAAGAAAGTCACAGATATATTCAAATATGTTGGGGAATAGAAACTTCTTAGAAAATGTAAATTTGGTTAAAGGAAGAGATAAAGTATAAAAAAAGAAAAATAAGATGGAAAGAAAGAATATTTGGGGAAGATTCTCTAAAAGGAAGAGAGAGAAGGAAGATAAAGCACACTGACTAAAACTCATAGTGTACTGGAGGTTCTGACTTTATCCCATTATATGTTTTACTGATGGGCAAAAACATATCTGTGTTAAAAGAACATTCAATTTTTTTTAAAGATTTATTTATGCATAAAAGAGCTGGGGTACAGGCCATACATGCGGGAGGTGAGAGGATTCACCAGAGACAGAGTAGGGAGCAGAACAGGCAGACTAACTGAAATACACTGCTGAGGGGAGCAGTAGGGGAGACAAGAGAGGTCTGCTGCACCATGTGGGTTGCTCCCTGGCTGACCAGGGATTGAACACGTGCTGCAGAGGCTTCGGATTGCTTCCTAGTGTGTTTCTTCACCCCTTGCGCCACTAGGGAGACCACAAGAATATTAAATATTTTTGAAAAACATTTGGCATGGTGCCTCCTTGGTGGCGCAGCAGGCTGAGCGCAGCACTGTGAAGCTATCCACAGCCTCTGCAGCAATGGTTCAATTCCTGGCCGGCCAGGGAGCTACCCACATGGTGCAGCAGACCTCTCCTGTCTCGCCTGCTGCTCCCCTTAGCAGTGCATTCAGTCCGTCTGCCTGTTTTGCTCCCCACTCTGTCTCTGATGAATTCTCTCACCCTCCCATGCCTCTGGCCTGTACCCCAGCTCTTGTATAAATTAAAAAAAAAAGAAAAATATATGGAACATATACACATATATGTAACAAATACAAATAAATTATATTTAAAAATATAATTTTAAAATTAAGATTCTTCTTCATGTCATCATCCCACCATGGCAGACTTCAAAATGACCCCATTGTACAATGGTCCTGAAAAACATCTGTTGATGCAACAATATGTCTTGGAGATTTTTTATATCAGTATAAACTGATACACATGATTATTTTAATGCTACAAAATTTCCTCATATGGATTCACATAATTTAGAATTTCTACTATGGGTAAAACACATGCAAGTATTAGGTTTCAGTGTGTATTCTATTTCCAAAATCACTACAATGAATAATCTTTCATACAAATAAATTCAGTTGTTTCTATAGTCTACATCCCTAGGATTGAAATTATTGTAAGTGTGATGCACTTAAAAATTGATCAACATTTTAACTTGCTCTTCCAAGAGACTTTCTAACTACAGTGAAGCAGCAACATTTATTTCTCATGGAATGCTGGTTCCCCTCAGACTTAGCAAAAACATATATTTTTAACTCACTTTTTAAAATCTGATATATGAAAAATCATACCATGTTTTGGTTTATATTTCTCTGCTGGAGCGTACTGTATTTGTTTAGTGACCATTTATAATTTCCAAAAAATTGTTTCAGTAAATTTCCTGCTCAAATTTTTGTTAAGCTTTCTGCTTGATTTTTATAATTCTTTATACAGTAACATTGTGCCAAGATTTTTCTTCTATGTGTTCTTTATGTTTTAAGATTATTTGTGTTGTATAGACTTTTAATTAGTTTATGTACCCAAATTATCAATTTATATGATTTTTGGGTTTTTTTTGGTCTTATTGATAAAATGTTTTATGTTTAAAAACAAAAAAATAGCATTCTCATTTATTTATTATCTATCAGTTCTCAAATTCATGTATTAAGGGAAAATTTTTAAGCTCTTCTCTGGATCTAAAATACTTTGAAAGATTCCATATTTATCTTGCTCCTTGGTAAAATTCACTTCCCTAGCTCTTGTAGTTGAGAAGAAAATAGCCTATTTATCTTTCTTTTTGTTTTTAGAAGGATGCCAGCATTCCCAGTTCATCCCTTGGGCCATTGCTATTCTTTTCATCTTACTTCTCAGTGCCTGTTTTATTGCAAGTTGTTTGGGTAAGTTATTAGAAAAGGGAACTCTCCTTGAATTATTTTTCCAAACAGTTTTCATAAAGTTGCTCAAAGTCTTTTGTTACCTTGATTTCCCTCAACATATCAATCTATAATGCCTTCAGGGTCTTGGATTTAAAATTCAGAGCTACATTCTTCACCTTCCATTCTTTGATGGTGCTGCCTTGTATCTGGAATTATATTTATATTATGATCTGTTTTATTTTTTAAAGTTATGTCTTTTACTTATGTGTTTTTGTTTGTTTCTTAAATTGCATTATATACTTATTGAGCTAACACTCATATACAACATTGCTTTATATAAGGACAGGTTCACACATCTTCAGATGTATGTTACCCCACCACACCTACCACCAGGTAACCATAGTCCATCCAGACTTTGCTCCCTACCCCCACCTTCTCTTTCTGGTAGCTTCAGTTCTGCTATCAGATTTTTATGGTTTGTTTTGGTTTGGTTGTGTCTGTTCCTCTATATTTCACATAGGTGAGAAATCATGACAGATGGACTTTAAATCCCTTTTCTATATATGTGATGCTTGGTAACTCTAGTGAAATATCCCCCATGTTGTACTGGGACTATAAGGAAATGCATCTTATGAGTAAAGAGTAACCAAAATTCAGAATAATTGCACTTTGACATTGAGAACAAGAACAGTTGGAAGACTTGTCCTTTCTGATAATCAGACTTGCATAAAGGTATCATAATTAATTTAATATAGAAGTACATATATCCAAATAGACCAGAAGAAAAGAATGGAGATCTTACATATAGGAATTCTCCATATAAAACTGACATGATATTGCAGATTTATAGCAAAAGGACAGTTTTGTTCAATTAATGTGGTAGAGACCATTGATTATCCATGTTTTAAAAATTAAGTTGATTTTCTATCTCATATCATGTACAAAAACCAACCCAGGTTAGATTACTGGTCCAAATGTGAAAAGCGAAGCAATAACCCTTTTTTGAAGATAAATAGAGCGTATATCCATGACACTGAGATGGGAAGTGATTTCTTAAACAAATTACAAAGTGTATTAGCTCATAGGAAAATATTGACAAATTATTCTATATTGAAGAAAGAATCATTGCACAACAAAAATATCACTGAGTGAAAGCAAAAGCCACAGATGTTTGCAATGAATATAGTGAACTGTTAAGAATAAAAGAGAGTGCAGGGGCCTTAACTATTAGAGGAAGTCAAAGCCTATCTTTTTCCTAATTAAGTGGTTATGTTGGGGAAAGAAACTCACTTTTTTTTCTCTTGACAGTGACTCACCGCAACTTTCTCCGATGTAAGAGAACTATGGGGGGTTTCAAGTCACCAGAACACCATGCAAAGCTGACATGCATCAGAGAGAAGTCAGGACTCAAAGGTACAGATAGCAGAGAGCATAAGGAAACAGACTTTTTATTTCTATTTCTATTCAAATTCATTATCTGATTTAAAGAATACCAGCAGTAAACCTAGGGAGATTAAAATAACATAAGCTGATCAGTGGGCACAAGAATGAATGTCAATAAGTTGAGATAGAATTGTTTTTTTTTTTTTTAAAGATTTATTTATTTATTTATACAAGCACTGGGTACAGTCAGAAGCATGGGAGGGTGAGAGAATTCACCAGAGCCAGAGTGGGAGCAGAACAGGCAGACTGACAAAATACACTGCTAAGGGGAGCAGCAGGCACGGCAGGAGAGGTTTGCGCGCCATGTGGGACCCTCGCCGGTGGCCGGGGATCGAACCAGCACTGCAGAGGCTGTGGGCAGCCTCGCAGCCCAGCTTTCAACCGCTGCACCACCAGGGGAGGCCTGAGATAGAATTGTTTTTGATGACTGTAATGAGCTGAGTACCAGGAAAAAATAGCAACACAATTATGGGTCATTTTTAGCATCTAAAACACAGCATTGATTTAATTCCATTTTCTTTGGATTCAGATATATCACAAGGACTGTTTCTTCCTATAATATATAGTGTTCCTGAAGTGTCTTTATCTCTTTTATTATTCTGGAGTATGTGAAGTCTCATTTGGAAGAATAGGGAAATGTTTGAGTTTTAGTAGTTTCTTTGCCCCTTTCAGATAAAATGCCCTGCAGAAGGTTTTGGCATAGGAACACTCTAAATGAGGAAGTGAATAGATACAGGGATGCTGAAAAATGATCATTCTTCTACGAAGAGAATATCTTGTCGCTTTCTCATAGTCATTATGTGATTCAGATGTTTTTGTTTGGAAGATACTTAGAAATGTAATTTTCGGGATTTCTTAATGGGGGAACAGAATGATTTTGGTAATCCTGGTATTATTGGCATAAATGTTAGTTGGACTTTCAGTGATAGAATAGCTATGCGATCTATAACAGATGAAATACATCTTTGCCCAAGTTTTCACTTTCATGTTCACTCAAGGAAGCACCTGGGATTGCTGCCCGGTAAGCTGGAGAGCCTTTCAGTCCAACTGCTATTTTCCTCTTAATGACAACAAGACCTGGGCTGAAAGTGAAAGGGACTGTATGCAGATGGGCGCACATCTGGCTTCTGTCAGCACAGCAGCTGAGCAGGTAGGCTGGGAGACTCCCACGGTGTCTCTGCTGCTTTGAACCTCTTCGCAGAGAAAGAGGAGTTTTTCTGCTCTGCTGCGCCTCTGTGCCTTTGCTCCATCTATCCCATCTGGGGGGGGAAGCCTTTTCCTCCTCTCTCATTTTTCATCATATGACAACTTCTGGTCTTTCCAGATTTGTATTATTTTCCTCCAGAAAACTTCCCTGGCCACCTTCCCTGCTCCTGCTCTCTAGTTTAAGTTGGAGGTGGTTCCTTAGTGTTTTGTGTGCTCTGTGGCTGTGACCCTTACTCTAGTGTCTGCAGAGGTCTGTCCTTAACTCTCTTCTGGAGATTCTCTGTAGAGGGCTGGGTCTTGCCCTACTCTTTGTGTCTCCAACAATCTGCACAGCAGATGAGTAGTGATAAATATCTGCTGATTGAATACATAAAGGGTTTGTTGGAACTGAAATAGCTTCTCAGGCTAAAGTGTAGGGAAAAGATTCAGAGGTTGGTTGCAATTCTAAATCAAAAAAGTCAAATTCAGTTCAATGCTTTAAAAACTGAAATTTATTTCCTCGTGTGATACATTTCCAGATATGTACCATGACTAAGATTCTGCTCTTTACTTGGTCAGCAGGGTTTCCTGGAGTTTTTTTTTCTTCATGGCTTTGTAATCTCCAAGTTCATGTACTTAATACAATGGCATTTAATGAGATACACAAATAATGAAAGGAAGCAATTTGAAAACCCAAGTGGTTTTGCAAAGTGATTTTGCAAATATGATCTCAGTTAATCTTCAGGGAATTCTCCATGAAGTATGGAGCTGCCTTTCTTGGAGATGAGAAAACTAGGGTTTGGTGAGATTAATGAATTTAGTAACATTGTACAGTCAGTGGGAGAGGCAGGATGTGAAAGAGATCTGTTTAGTGGCCTTTTCTGCTTGTCTAGTAATCTACTTGACCTCTTTACTTTATTTCTAACATAATAAGTATCACATGATAAATGCAAATACATCTCTAAAAATGACTTTTTTTAATGCAGAACTTTATTATTCAATTTTTGGATAGACGGTTTCCATATTTCCTGGGACTAACAGATGTGAACCGTAACGGCCAGTGGCACTGGGTGGACAAGACACCATTTAACCCACACATGGTGTGAGTATATTGTCTGGGGTGAAAGAGCTTTGTAAAGGCGAGAAGGTAGCAAGCCAGTTCATTCTGGGGGGGGTGCAATTGTGATGTGACAATGCTTACTCAGAACAGAGCACTGTTTGTTGAAAAAGTTCTATACTAGTACGCTCTACAGGTATTAGAGCAGCTCTACATTTTTTATTTTTTAGTAAAGTTGTATTTATTGAAACAGTGTTGATTTATATCATAATGTAAGTCTTAGGGATATAGGTTTACACCTCTCCAAATGTATATTATTTCACTAGGGGCATTTTTCTCTGCACTGTCTTCTCACCTACAAACACTCACACATACACAAAGAAACATACATGTGCACATATATTTTTTTTTCCATTTCAGATTCTGGCATGAGGGTGAACCTGACAACTACCCAAGAGAAGATTGTGTGGTCCTTGTTAATGACCAAGACAGATGGGCGTGGAAGGACTTTGCTTGTAACTCTAAGACAAGTAGGATTTGTAAGGTTCCTGGCACAACACTCAAATAGAAAGCTGTGGAGAGATCCTTGTGATGAGGACAGAAAAGAAGAATGATAAAAATAACACAGGAAGCACATGCATTACTGAGACAGAGAAGGGATGCTGGGCATAGAACATTTTCAGAAATTGATGGATTTATCTTTGTTCAATTCATTCAAGATAATGTGTGATATTTTGGTGGAAAAAAGACACTTCTGTGAGAATTAGTTTTCATTAACATTGTTTCTTGAGGTAATTTCGAAGTATTTTCTTTTTGTTCCAAATATTTTATTTTATTTTGATGGCCAGGACTTATATTTATTTTAATTAAATTATAGCTTATAAACAATAACATTTTTATAATTGATATAAAATGATTATATATAATATGATTATAATATATGGTTTGATGAATCTTGACAAATGTGTATGCTCATAAACAGCACTCTGAACAAAATATAAAACATACCCATTATCCCAGAAATTACTCTTACACTTCCCGGTAACCTTTACCCCCAACCCTGCAGAGGTATCCACTGTTCTACCAGCATGTGTCAGTTGGCCTAATCTAGACCTTGTATAAGCACATTCATATTGAATATGCTCCTGCACATCTGCCTTCTTCCACTCAGCATAATATCTATGGGGTTCTTTTTAAAAAATTTTTTGTAACTTTTTTAAAATGAAAGTAACATGGTTTATAATTTAGGTGTATAGCAGAAAAGTACAGAGATTTCCCACATCCATGACCCACACATGAGGACCCCCACTGTAGACATGCCCCACCACAGTGGTACATTTGTTATAACTGATGGAACTTCATGGAATACACAGAGCATTAGGGCAATGAAAAATTTAATTCTTCATCCTAAATGTTTTCCCCAAACAGGGAGTCCAAACCTAAGGGGTTTTTTTTTGAGTCAGAAAAGCCTTTACATACCACTTTAACCAAACTCCTTCACTTCTATAGCTGAGAAGCCAGAGAGTTTGCCTTCACGTTGCTAGTTCACAACAGAAGCAGGACTATGACCCAGGTCTATCCTTCCTCAGGGATGAAATGAATTCTCTTTGGCATTATGGGAAAAATTCTGGAGGTGACATGACACCTGGCTAACAGATAAAAATTCTTATTAGAAGCAATATTGTATTAGTGTATCTATATTTTTTTATTTTAATCAGAGCATGGTGTTTTCAACTTGTTTATGTAAATTGTTCACAAGTTTCTTTAGAACTGTAAAGCTATAGTACAAACTAGCAAGGAAGGCATTGTTTTAACTGAAATTATGCTTTTGTAATATATGAGGTATTACCAATCATGAAACAGTCACATTTAACAAAATATGGTGGTTTTTCTTCTACTCCATTTGCTGATGTTTGCTGGATCTAAGCTAAACAATTTTAGCATTTTAACCTAACTTCCTTACCAATATTTTTAAAGATGGTATTTATCTTGTAAATTAGTGATTTTCTGAGTTTGAATACAGGTGTGTGATTGTTGTGTGCATTTGCATTTAAAGCTGATACTTTAACTGCAGTAGTGCTAAGTGACTTTAGTTGTGTTTCCCATATTCACTAAATTACAGAGCACAAAATCTAAAAGAACTTGTTCCAATAACTATGTAAAGGCTAATAGATATTTTGGATTAAAGGCATATTGATTTTAAAACCAATGACTGTTGGGGCTCCCTCATGGCACAGGGGTTAAATTCTCAATGCTGCCAAGCTATCACCAGCCAATGTGGCCTGAGTTTGGCCAGCCCCTGAGGCCTCCTGAGTTTGATCTCCCAGCCAGGGAGCTGACCCACACGGTACAGAATCTCTCTCCTGTCTTTCCAACAGCTCCCCTCAGCAGTACATTTCAGTGGATCTGCCTGTCTGTTCCCCACTCTGTCTCCTCTCATCCTTGATGTCTGGCCTCTACCCCAGTTCTTTAAGGATGAATAAATAAATTAAATCTTAAAAAAAAAAAAACCAAAAAACCCACAGATTGTTACTTATGCCTAAGATAAACACTTTTTATGAAAGCAAATCTTATATCTTTGTCTTCAGTTGAATTTTCCCATTCAAAGATCACAAATTCCAATACATGAATTTTGAGCGTCTCTTCATGATGCTCTTCATAGTGCAAGAAACTTGGTTACAGAAGACACTAGGTTGTTTAGCTATTATTGAATAAACTTATCAGAATTAGTAGCATATCATGCAATAAGTGGATAGACTTGAGATAGGAAAGTCTCAAGTTGAATGCTTCTTAGAATAATTGACTGTTGGAGTATGGCCCTGTTTGACCAATAGATACAAATTCAGGTGAGATCCCCTAATTTGTCATGGAAGAGTAAACAGAGAATAAAGGGAGCGTGGGCTGAATGAGTCTGTTGGTTAATTCATTAAGTATGTTGGATGAGTTGAAGGTTAGTATGGACCTTCCTAAGAGGTGCAATAAAGCCTGTTGGGCAGAAAGTCCACACAAGTCTTTGGACTAGGATTACATTTCATGACTTGAAGCAAGTGTCCTACTCATTCTATAGGAGAATATAGTGAGGATATGTACTTGGGCAGGGTGGAAGCAGTGTGAAAACAGGAAGAGAAGAGAGATTTTTAGAAGCTAAAAAACAGAGAAATTGACAGCCTGAATTCAGGTATTAGTTGAAAGGTACTTGCCATTATTTCTCAGCATTTTGGCTAAGATCAAGTGCAAAGGCATTTCCCCTTCCCTCTACTTTGTTGGATTTTGTATTTTTTTCTTGTTCCTGTGTTTTCATATAAATACTCCCAAATGAAGTAAATGAATTAAAAGGGGCATTCCTTCCTTTTCACAGTATTTGCTAAAGAATTGTTCTGTAAATTTTGAGAAGTCTTAAGACTTACACAGGGAAAAAATCATGAATTATTACATTCAAAGCTACTTATTTTTATTTATATGATATAAAGCAATGAAACATATGGAGTTCTCATGAAGTGCAATGCACACTTTCCTCCTGTTGGGGCTGTAGCCATATTCTTGCTTTTATTCCTCTTCATTTATTTGTGCCTTCTCGTCAAAGAGATTTTTCTTGATTCAGAATATTTGCTTGTGGCATTTCACAAATCCGAAACATATTGAAGAAACAGGGCACATCATTCCAATTTTTCCTTGGGTTTGAAGAGTCTCTTATGGTGACGCAGTCCTCAACTGTAGCTATGTTGTTAGGCTCCCCTGCATCCCAGAAGCTGAAAGAGAGACACATGGGAAATTGGAAATCCTAACCACAATTGGGCAAGTGCCCTAGTACACTAAGCAAACTGCATTTGTGTTTTTTCACTTCCCATAGCACTTAAGTGAAGGAGGTGTTATAATGTCCACATCATTGACAAAGAGAGGGAACCACAGAAAAGTGAAACCACTTGTTTAAGTTATAGTTTGTGAGTCATGAAGCAGACTGGATCTTTCAGATTTTCCATTGAAATTTTCTATTTCTATTTTCTCTCTCATGTTCTAAGACCCAGAATGAGAAGTTATGGAAAGGATTCATATTCTGATGGACTTATTTCCTTTGCACTCATACCTTCTATCTTGCTTGGTTTCCTTTTTCTACAAAGCACTTCTATTAACTTAGGTACATACATCAAAGGTGTTACAATGCTTAAGTGAAGTAACTTTCTAAAGTATCAAAGGATTTGGGCTATACTCTTAGAAATGGTTTAAACCCCCCTGCTCTTTAATTTCCTCAGTTGCTAAATGAAGATCGATAATACTGATGCAGGAAAATTTAAAAATGATTGAAATACAAAAATTAAAAACTCAAAAATGCTGTGCTCTAATGACATAGAGCCATTAAAAGGAGAAAAAGATGACATCACGGAAAATCCCATGTTCACTCCATTAAGCAGCTACTGTTTTTCTCAAGTCACTATTTTTATCTCATTTACTACAGTTTGGGGGTATAAGACTCTGAATGCCACTCTGTGCCTCTTCTGCATTTCCAATGAGAGAATCTTCAATTCCAATCCCTTCTCATAATCATCTGTTACTTTCCCTTTATTTTTAAGATACTTCTAGGAAATGAAAGCAGCAGATACTCATACGTCTATTTTCTCATCTACACTTGCTCTTTCCCTTCTTGCTTTGAATATCACCAATGATGGATCTGAACATATCTCATGAAACAGAAGGATGTTCTGGTAATGCCCCTCAATGATATTAAAAGGATCAGAGTAGGGTGGCAATTCCCCTACAAGATGGAAAGTACCTGAGAAACTGGTTGAGATGTGTGCCATCTACCCATTTCCATTGACTCTCAACAATCCTGTCTGTCAATCCAATATAAAACTCTTTTCCTTTAGGTTTTGTATGGAAAAGGAATTCCTATAAGATGCACAATAAAAAAATTATTTCAATTCTGAACAAATGTTGAAGAATTGTTATTATAAATAAAGCAGGGTTTGGTCTAGAAATGACAGATAAATGGGTTTGAAATTATAAGTTCATCAAGGATAATATTCTGATTTCTTTTATTGTGGCAAAACTACACATAACATAAAATTAAACCAACAAAAAAAGAATCTTCAACAGAGGATATTCTCTAGAACTCATTCAAAAATTTATCTGTTGTTATTACTAGCAAAATCTACAGTATATACCTAACACAAAACATTATTAACCACTTGTGTCCCCTCTTTCATAAGATGTAGCTAAACTTACTGGTCATCCTGAAATGAACTCCCTACCCTTTCTGCCTACCTAGTAACAAAGGAATGAAACATTCCTTTTTTTCTTAAGATTTTCTAATGCTGAAAATAAGTTAAAGCTGGTATTCACTTACAGAAATAGTAGGAATAGCATAATACATACATATCATAAATTCATTTAACCAGCAGTCAATCTATACACATGTATGGAGAGGGCTATCGATGCTGTGAAGAGTGTCATATATGGGGGACTGTACTCCAACTACCTGCTCCTCCTGGGTGTTGATAATCACCAGATGAGCTCCCATGTCTGAGCAGTTTTTTACACTTAATGTCCAGGTCAATGTGTTTGTAGAAAAGAAGTAGCAGCTGGAGTGAAAATAGACCCAATTCAGTGGACAGCAATTCTTGACTGAACCTGGGAGAGAAGTGTTTGAGGGTTTCCTGTGTGAACTGAGTAAGAAACAGAACTACAATGATGTAAGGAAAAAAATAAGATTAAAAAATTCTTTTAAATAAAATATAAAAATTTTACTTGTTTTTACTGAAGTACCATTGTTTACATTCTTGCTAGTATTTTGAAAGTATAGGGTTCCCTCCTGAGGTGTAGTCACCATAGCTCTCCACTACTGAAGCACCCATTGTCCTTCACCTAGTCCATTGGGATCTTTCCACCCCTAACCCCACCCCCAATATTACTACTCCCCTCCCCCTCTGAAAACCATAGATCTTTGGTCATCTTTCAAAAGTTAGATTTAAAGTTTCTCTTTGGCTCTTTGATGAAACCCATCACTTACTGTCAGAGATTAGACACCCTTGTTCATGTTCCACATCTTACCAAGACTTTAGATAATTCCTATGTCAATGAACACAAACAGCAATTTTCTTGTTTTTGAGATGAAATTATCCTCTCCAAATGCCAGTACCAGTAAATTAAAACATATACTATCTCAGATATGTTCTTGAGATAGAACCTTTTATCTGTTCTTAGACAGCAAAAGTCAGAGAAGTTATGTACTATATCTGAGCACCATTTCTTATGTTGCCAAAAAATGAACCCTCAAAAAAAAAATCTCCAAATGGGTTGTATAATGAGTGAAATTTCTTAGAATTATAGAATGTAAGCCTTCAAGCTTATTAAAAATAAATAATTCAATTTGTCTCAATTTAATGGTGAGGAAATTATAGCTCAGAGAAGGAAATCACTTTTCTAGTGTCATTCAGAATTTTGATAAGACTTGGAACAGGACTATATGTAAAACTTCATTTTGGAAGCAGGTGATGAATTGGATGGGATGCATTCCTGGGGACATTATCCTTCTACTTCTATATTAACTGTTAGGGCATATACATCAAATATATTCCAAAAGTTTGTTATAATGTTCCCCAAATTTTCTGCACCAATGCTAACTGCTTTCCCAAAGTTCTATTCCTATCTTCTCACCATCACCTCATCATTCTCTCACAGAATAGGCAAGAGTTTGCATTTGAAAACGGCCCTAATTCAATTACTTATCACAAAATTGATCTAGAAACTAGAAAATGCTGATATGTAAATGTGGAGGTTCAAATGTGAGGATTCTTGTACCTGACCCATCATTGTAGCAGGAGAGTCCCATCAAGTCATCACGTGGCTGGAATTCTTTCTCATTGCAACATTGAAAGATGCGATATGTCACTGGAAGGAAAGGGGCACACGTAAAGTTCATTACTCTTGCTAAAATAAATTTTATCTTTTTGTATTCAAAACAGAAGTGCCCATAGCTGTGATGATATTCTATTACTATGTAATTTTCCTCAGGAAGAGGTGAGGGGGTGGGAATTCACTTATGGTTTGTCTGACTTATGAGGATGAATGTGCTTTATTTCAGGCCCTGAAGGCCCAGAGAAAACAAATATGTTTGTGTATCTCTCATGCAAAATCTTACCCTCTCTATTCCTTCCAGAAAGTGATATCTCATGTCTCTGGCTATGACTGTTATCAAACCAGCACCCCAGAGACCAAAAAAGCGGGGATCGTTATGGCAGTTCACTGTCTGATGTATTCCCAACAAGCAGTTAAATGTGCTTTATGATTTACCTTAAACAATGTCTCACCCTGTCTTGCTGACCAGATCCCGACCACCTCTCTCTGGCTCAACCACCTGGATAACAAACACCAGAACAACCCAGAGCTGGGCAGACCTGATCCTGAGTGACTGCAAGTAGCCAAAACCTCATTAAAATCCTAAACTCTCCTCTGAGGGAGGAGCCTCAGCGCCAAACCACCAGGTAAACTGAAGCATGTTCTGTCTCCAGGGCCTGGGCAGAGATCCTCAGCTGCCCGGTACTCAGCATCCAATCACCCAGGACTTCCTCTTTCTACTTCTGGGCTTTCCCTTTGAGGAAACCCTTGAAATCAGGATGAAGTTTTGGGGCTGATGGAAATGTTCTTTGTCAAGTTTATGGTGGTGGTTACACGACTATTTACATTTGTTCAAACTCATCAAACTGTACTTAAAGGAGCAATTTTTATTTTTATATATTATTCAATAAGTGACTTTAAAATAAAGAGTTTGAGGCTGAACTATTAAAAAAGTGAAAGCAGAGAACAAGAGGAAGACTGAAGAAGGGATGAGGCTCACACTGGGGCAGTGGTTGCTTGATAAGAGGCACAGGGTTTAAGAATCTTATTCTTGAAAGTCAGGCTGACTTGAGCTTGAGTATTGACTGGCTGTGTGATCTTAGGCAAGTGCTTGAACCACTGTAATACTGTTTGTTCACCTATAAAATGGGGATAAGAATACTATCAATCTATGATGCCTTGTAAAAAAAATTAAAATATTTTGAATTCCCTATTCAGGGAGGCAATCCTTGGAGATATCCCCCTGCCACCTTACTTGTCACAAGTAATAAAACTTCTCTTTCCTCCATAAACTTGGATCTGGTCTATTGGCTGACACCCCCAAGATGTGTACCCCTTCATTCAGTAACTGCATCTCACAGAGGGGATTACAGTAATGATCAGGGAACAGAAAGAAGGGCTCAAGGCCACCAAGGAGTTGAAGAATATCTGTCATGAAAATTGAGTCAGGGATCTCTGAAATTTGGTAACAGTTCTGTGCTAATTGGGGTTTCTGGCTTAAAGACTAACCCAGGTGGAAAGCAGGGAAGGGAAGAGTAGAATAGAAATAGCTTTTGCAGGAGAAGAGAATCCACAGGCAGCAAGGAAGAATTTACTTCTGATACTCACTGGAGAGACTGAACTTGACCTTCAGAACTTACCAACACATCTGGTGATAAAACAGGCACTGAGTAGTAGTATGGCAGCCCCGGAAACAGTCCACAAGAACATTTGGGAGGAGAATAGTCTTTCTGTAGAAAGACAGAAACATAGTCAATCTTCCCTAAACAAGATACAAAAGATACATATGAGATTTTTATTCACCCTTACTGATTTCCTTCCACCAGCATTATGTGTGTTGAGTAATTCTCAGGCTTCAGCATGCATCACAATCATTTGGGGGATTTGTGAAAACACAGAGCCCCAGAGTTGACAATTTAGTAGAGGTGGTATGGATGCAAGTTCTCGAGAGCTGCTGGTGCTACTGGCTTGGAGACCACACTTTCAGTTCTTACTAATTTTAATACTGATTCATGAACTTGGACAGAAGTGTGATTTTTTTTTTCTTCAGCTTTCACAGATTTTCTCTCTCTCTCTCCTCTCTCCCTCCCTCTCTCTCTCTCTCTCTTTCTCTCTCTCTCTCTCCCTTCCCCCCCTTTCTCCTCATTCTGTTTTTCTTGTCTCTGCTCAGCTCTTCTCTTTTCTGTGTCTCATTTTTCCAAGCCCTTTGTAAGTCAGTAAGCTAACACTTGCAACTATCTAGTAGTTCCTCTCCTTCTTCCTCCAATGCACATTTTAAAGATAAGGAAAATGGGTTCCCCTGAAGTGCAGTGGTTTGTCCAGTGGGACCCAGTGACTTGTAGGAAGAGGAGAAACAGCAGTAAATTTTCAGTTCGGTAACTCTCCCAAACTGAAGTCCAGCAATCTTTTTATTTTCTTCTCTTTCATTTTCTCTCCCTGTCTCTCTGCCTGTTATTTTACTTTATTGAAAACTTTCCTATTGTTCTGTCACGCAACACATGTATTAATCCTGCAAAGAAAAAAAGAAATCTATGAAAGAAAAGAGACTTAAGATTTTACCTGTGCATTGCGATGGAGACGATTTGCATGAATTCATTCTTTCTCTTCCTTTCTCTTCTTCCACCCTCTGTGTCTCCCACCTCAGTTTGAGTCCTGGAGTATTTTGTTAGTAAGATTTAAGGAGAGTGAGACTTGAAGGATGAAATCTTTATCTTCATTTTAGGAAGCTCAACCCTAAATATATAAGAATATTAAGTGTTCTGTGGCTGTCTGTGTACTTAAGTCAGGATTTCCTCTCTTGCACAAGCAGGACAAGGGAGTTATAGGGCAACAAAGTGAGTCCACATACTAGCACAAGCAGTGAATGGGGAAATGATGAAAGAAGAGGAACACATTGTGAGGAAATATGAGGGGCTTAAAAATAATTGTCTTATTTGGCAGGTACAATTTCTCTGCTTCCTTCCAGGCCTAATTCATCCCTCATTTATTCCTTGACCCTGGCGGAGCCCTCCCCTCCAGTCAGAACCATCATCACTCATTGGTTAACAGAAAAGGAAACCAGCTTTAAGCCCTTACAGCACTTGGCATAGAGCTGGGCACCCCGTTCACATGTTTTACCTTAGCCGTGTGAATTGCTTTTAATCTTTTGCTTCTCTTCCTACATCATTTGCAGCTCTTGAACATTCTACTACTGCATATTTATTTAGCTTAAAAAAAAAAAAAGATTTCTTTATTTATTTACCATAGGTGAACTGAGGGGGGTGGGTAGGCCAGAGGTTTGTGTGGGGGGTGTCAGTAAAAGGATTCACCAGAGAGAGTGTGGAACAGAACAGATGGATTTAAAGAAATACACTGTTGAACAGAGCAGTGGGCAAGACAGGAGGGGTCTGCTGCATCATATGTGGGTTAGCTCCCTGGCCAGGGATCGAATTCAGGCCATGCTGGTGATAGCACTGAGACTTAACCCCTAGCCCACCAGGGAGGCCCACCACTGTATTTATATCCCTTTCATTAGAGCATTGATCACTTGTCTGTTTCACAGGTCCACCTCAGCCTCATGTGCTATAATTACTTTGAGACTCAGCTCAATTCCTTACATCATAACACAACTTCCGAAGACTTAGAGACTCAGGAGGCAGCGTAATTCTACTGTTGTGAATTATTTGGGGATTTGGTTTTATACTGTAGCTCACATTTGAATCTGAAGGTCAGAAATCATTTAAATTAGACATTGGACTATAAGTGCTTCTCTGGAAATTAGCTAGATATAACAATGTACCATCTCTTCCTTAGAGATACTTAACATAACTGGTCTCAGTTGATTTAAGTTCACAAGTATGAGAGGGAATTAGTAATTATGTGTGTATCCTTTGGGATGTGGGTCCTCACATAGTTGCTGACTTACTGACTTTCATGTCTTAGAAAAAATTCCTTGTTCTAAAAGGGACTTTTTATTGTTGCAATGTATTGGTCAATTTCTCCTTCAGTCTTCATTTTGCTCTTGAATAGATTTGTTAAAGAATGTTTTAAAATTATACATATATATAGTAAAATAAACCCATTTTTTAAATGTATTATTGGTACATGAATTTTTACCAGTAAAAAGGAAGAAATTATGTAGTGGATGAGTATTGAATTATTAAATAGTAAATTGCAATAACTACAGTCACATTTTTAAAAATTACTCTCACTTCGCCATAATACTAACAATCATACATTAATAACTTTATGAATATGCAATCTATTAGCTATTGAATATTAATATTTTACCAGACAAAATATATATATTTTTTTAAGTCTTTGCTTTACCACTTCCCCAAATTTTGAAAGTCATATTTTTGTGGGTAACCAATGAGCCATATGTAAAAGTAAAAGACCTCCCAGCTATTCTTTTTTTAAATTTTTAAATTTTTTATTTTTTAACCTTCATTTTTAAATTTTTATTTTTTATATCTAATTTTTTTTTATTTTTATATTCCCTATACAATTGCAACCCCCCCATTTTGACCCCAATCCCTCCCCTCCCACCCCCCACAAATTGTCTCTGGTTCATAGTTTTTTGTTGATTTTGATTTTTACTTTCTTATAGTTATTCTTTTTCCTGGTCCCTTATTTAAGTTTTCTAGATTCCTGCTATGAGTGAGACTATCCGGTATTTTTCTTTTTCTTTTTGGCTTATTTCGCTGAGCATGATCCCTTCCAGCGCCATCCATGTTGCTGCAAATTGCATGTGTTTATCTTTTTTGAATGCTGAGTAATATTCCATGGTATATATGTACCACATCTTCTTGATCCAGTCATCTAATTTTGGGCATTTGGGCTGTTTCCAAAGCTTAGCTATTGTAAATAGTGCTGCTATAAACATAGGGGTGCAGGTGTTCTTTGGAATTGATGTTTCTGTGTCCTTTGGGTAAATACCTAGGAGTGGAATTGCTGGATCATATGGAAGCTCTATGTTTAGTAGGTCCAGAAATCTCCACACAGCTCTCCATAGTGGTTGGACCAGTTTGCACTCCCACCAACAGTGCAGGAGAGTTCTTTTTTCTCCACAACCTCGCCAACATTTGTTGTTGCTAGTTTTTTTAACATGTGCCATTCTCACTGGTGTAAGATGGTATCTCATGGTAGTTTTGATTGCATTTCCCTGATTACAAGTGATGTTGAACGTATTTTCATATGCTTGTTGGCCATTTGCATTTCCTCTTCAGGGAAGTTTCTTTTTAGCTCTTCTGCTCATTTTTTGACTGGATTATTTTCTTTATTTTTGTTGAGTCTCATCAGCTCTTTGCAGATTTTTGTGATCAGTCCTTTATCATTAGTGTTGCGTGCAAAAATGTTCTCCCAGTTGGTGGGGTTTCTCTTTGTTTTTGTTATTGTCTCTTTTGCTGTGCAGAAGCCCTTTAATTTGGTGTAGTCCCAGCTGTTTATCTTTGCCTTCACTATCACTGCTTTGGGTGATGTGTCTGTAAAGATGTCTTTGATGTGCATATCATGTAGTGTTTCGCCTATATTTCCTTCTATGTATTTTATGGTTTCAGGTCTTATGTCTAGTTCTTTAATCCATTTTGAGTTGGTTTTTGTGTATGGTGTGAGGTAGTGGTCAAGCTTCATTCTTTTGCATGTAGTGACCCAGTTTTCCCAGCACCATTTATTGAACAAACTTTCTTTGCTCCAATGCATATTCTTTGCTCCTTTGTCAAAGATTAGTTGACCATAAATCTGTGGGTTTACTTCTGGATTTTCTATTCGATTCCATTGGTCTGTGTGTCTGTTCTTGGTCCAATACCATGCAGTTTTGATGATTATGGCTTTGTAGTATAGTTTGAAGCCTGGGAGTGTGATGCCTCCATTCCCTTCTCTTTTTTTCAGGAGAGCTTTGGCTATTCAGGGTTTTTGGTGATTCCATATGAATTTCATCAATAATTGTTCTATTTCTTTGAAGAATGACATTGAAATTTTGATTGGAATAGCATTGAATCTGTATATTGCTTTTGGTAGGATGGCCATTTTAATAATGTTTATTCTTCCAATCCATGAGCAGGCAATGTCTTTCCATTTCTTTGTGTCTTCTTCTATTTCTTTTAACAGTGTTTTATATATTTTTCTTTGTATAGGTCCTTTACCTCTTTTGTTAGATTTATTCCCAAGTATTTGATTTTTTTTGTTTCAATAATAAAAGGGATGTTTTTTTTTATTTCTTCTTCTTCAGATTTATTGTTTGTGTATAGGAAGGCTACTGACTTTTGCGTGTTGATTTTGTATCCTGCCACTTTACTGATGAGTTGAATTAGTTTTTCTGTGGAGTTTTTGGGGCTCTCTATGTATATTATCATATCATCTGCAAATAGTGATAGTTTGACTTCTTCTTTTCCTATTTGGATTCCTTGTATGTCTTTCTCTTGTCTTATTGCTCTGGCTAGGACTTCCAGTATTATATTGAAAAGCAGTGGTGAGAGTGGATATCCTTGTCTTGTTCCAAATCTTAATGGAAATGCTTTCAGCTTTTCACCATAGAGAATGATACTGGCTGTTGGCTTGTCATATATGGCCTTTATGATATTGAGGTATGTTCCTTATATCCCAAGAACTTCAAGGGCTTTTATCATGAATGGGTGTTGCACTTTGTTGAAAGCTTTCTCAGCATCTATTGATATTATCATATGGTTTTTATACCTCCCAGCTATTCTTAGTACACATTACTAACCTTGCCCACACTCAATGATTCCTTATGTACACTAGGAGACATTTTCTAAGCTCATATAAATATATTTTGTCTGTAATACATTATTTATTTTCATGCAGGTAAGTTCATACCATACGTACGTCTATGTTTTGAATATTAACTTCACAACATATATTCATCAATGTATTTGGACATCTAGATTCTTTTTTTTTCCCAGAAAAATTTATTATTATCCAGGCATCTGCATTTGGCAAGGGGTTACGAGACTAAAGAGGTTCACCAAAATATCTGAAAAAAGCAACTAATTTCAAAGGAATATACAGTAAGTTTCAGGAACCACAAAATAAAGAAGTACACAGATGTATTATGTAACTAATGGTTAAATTGGGTGATACAAGCTTTAAATGCTATGAAAGGTCAGAGCAATCACTGCCAGCCAGTATGGGGTGAAATTTGAATATACATTGGCCTGAGCTTCCACTTGAGAGAATTATTAACTGCCTAAACAATATCTTTTTTATGTTTTTAGTTTTTTTAAGTATCTCATATTTAATTATTTTTTACATCATTGTTTATTTAAAAATAATATTTGCTGTCCCCTACCCCCTCAGGTGTAGTCCCCATAGAGTTTCCTACACCAGTGTACCCATGCACCATCACCACAGTCCACTGTGCTACTCCCTCCCTCCCTCTGATCCCTCCACCTTCTCCTCCCCTGCAGTACGTCTCTGATTTATAATTGTCCATTTTGCTTTGTTGTGTTTTGTACTGTTATTATTTTTCTACACTGATGTCATATTTGGTTCCCCTATATTCCTGCTATAAGTGAAACCATCCAATATTTTTCTTTTTCCCTGTGGTTTATTTCACTGAGCATAATACCTTCTAGTTCCATCCCCATTGCTGCAAATGGCATGAGTTTATCTTTTTTGATTGCTGAATAATATTCCATTGTGTATATATGCCACATCTTCTTGATCCAGTCATCTATTTTTGGACATTTGGGTTGTTTCCAGGTTTTACCTATTGTAAATAGTGT